TTACCCTGCTTGGGAGTTTTTGATGTTGTTCTTGCTCTTGCTTGGGGGGCTTGGAGACATTCTCCTGGCCCTTTTCTGGCTGTGCAGCTCTTCAGTCTCGGTATACCTGTTGCCCGGAGCAGGGACTTCTGGTAGCCCTTTGGAGGGTTCGTTACTAGGTTCGTGGCAAAGCTGTTGGAATGGATTACCCTCTGGTGAATGGCGAGACGACTATTATTGTCGACGCCATAGACCTGAGTGGTCTCGTCTCTCCGGTGCTCAAGGATCTTGCTGAGCGATTCATCTTTTGCCTGCTTGATAGTTAGCATGTGGGAGAAGTGTTTTTTGTACGAGTCCTCCACACACAATAGGAAAGGAAGCTTGTGGCCAATTGGTGCTGGGATTTGATGGACTCAACAGACAGGTCGATAAACCAGTCATATGCCGCCCTCCAAAGTGGAGAACATTCTGCACATATTCTCGTCGGTAGCACCGAGAATGAACATGTGTGATTGGTACCAAGAATAATGCTCCTGGGGTTAGTTTTGCTCCCCCAGAGCATGGTGGTGGGCCCCTTGTACTTTGGAGGTATAGAGGATTGCATTACTATGACGGTGAAGGGGGTAGCAGACCTACCCTCACTGTTCCAGGATCATGGTTGAGTTGAGCCTGGAGTTGCTGCACTTGGCATGCAAGAGCCTCCGGTTGAGGATTCTTGGCTGAAGGAGGAGTGTTGTTTGGCGGTGGTACAACTACTGTTGCTACCCACTGTTCATTCACTTGGAGGGTGAGAGCGCAGATCTGCTTCTCCCGCGTGTGTTCACTTGGTGCTGACGCCGAGGTTGAGAGTTCCGATATTGCCGTGGAGGAGAATTTTGTTTTCACCTCGAGGGAGAGGGTTGTTACTACTAGCGTACGTGGGGGTGGCGGTTAATTGTTTGGATCGATTCCCCTAGTCTCTCCAGAGCGGAGGTTCACTCTGAAGTCCTCTCCCCTCGTAGTTGTTGAGAGCGTTGTTGTTGTGCCCTCGTTGTGGACACTTGGACTTGGTGAACCCCGGTTTGCACCCCCCACTCTAATCCAGGGGTTGGGGTTATCGTCCTCGTGCGGCTCCGGATAGATGGAGGATCCTCGAGAATCCTCAGTGGTGATGGCATAAACGTTGTTATCATTATTGCAGCAGTAAGACATACGATGTGTCGTGTAGTATAGTGGCAGAACTGGGGCTGGTGGTGGGACCACAAAGTGTTGTGCCGCTTGGGGGCGAGAGGTGCCAGGCCGCTGTGCTAGGGGCACAACAACGGGATTCTTTCAATATTGTATGTGATATTATAAATGCTAATCAATTATAAACTTATCATTTTTGAGAGGTGAATCTTTTTCTAGGCGTTCAAAAGATGCTAGATGTTTTCATTTCGTTAATCTTAGCAAGACAATTTTTGTGTTAATTTGTACTCCGTAATATTTTATTATTTATGTTTTCTACGGAGTATATGTTATTTCCCTTCACATTTTATTTAAGTATAAATACAAAAAGATGAAATGGATCACTACTTTCATTTTATATATCTAAAATATAAAACTTGATCAAATAAAACAATAACATATGAAACCAAATCAAATTGTACTAAATTGGACCTAGTAATTTTCACTTTGGTAATATGAACTTGAAACCAAATCGAATCGAAAACGAACCAAAATCAAACCGAACTGTAAATCGATTTGCCACCCCTTGTTTTGTGGGTATTTTCTTAAAACACGGGAAAAGCCAACAGTTGAGGCAAAAGAACGGGACTTTTTAGGGGATTTATAGGATTAGTTAATTTGGAAATACCCTTTCCGAAATTTAAAAAGATTACTTCTTGCAGTTGAAATTTCATTTTAAAAAATATTTATATGCATTATTGATATCATATTTATAAAAATTTTAGTAAAAATAAAAAAGTTATTCCGTATATTTTGTTGGCCCGTACCCATTTCCCTTGTGTATTCAACCCTAATTGGGCTTTCCGAATCCCGCTATTTCATCCTTTAATTAGGAATTTAGGACTCCCATACTTTATCTTGTTTTGTTTCATTACGGTTTGGAGTGTTTCCATGTTGATATATTCTCATCCACCCAACCACCGACTTAGAGAAATAGGATCATACCTACCCGATTCCATCAGCACCCAGAGAGGTAGAGATAAATATGCCATCGAATAGTATGGTACCTACAGATGAACGGTTGGTAGAAGCTGCCCATAAAGCGATGCATTATTTTAAAAAAAGGATGACATCCCATTCCTGAGGGCCCTCAATCCTGACCGCACGGTACATTGAGCGAATGTAAATTGGAATATAATCCATGACATATAGAAAGTGTGCCTCTGTCCCCGATACTTGCAGCTGCCCTATGCATTTTTAAAATAGTAACCCTTCATCGCAGTTGTCGGGATTCGAACTCGGGACCTAACCCTTATGACACTCCCTTCCTACCAGTTGAGCTACGGCCACCGGTAAGCGATGCATTACTTTGATATAACCCCATCATACATTTTCAATTCCAATGAGAGAATACAGTGCAAGGATGCTTGCCTAATAATCTCAGCATCATTTGATTTGTCTTGTCTGAAAAGAGATTTTATGTGGTAACACTAAAATCGGCTGATTCTACTACAATTTATGAAGTTCTGATTGAAGTGTTTGTATTGACTGATACTATTGATTTGTGAAAAAATTATATTTAAAATATAATTTATTAATAAAATAAAGAAAAAATTATGTGGAAAATAGCAAAAATAATCTACAAAAACTTAAACCAATGCAGCTAGAAAAGTAACACAAACCTTACTTTTTCTTATTACGGAGTATTACACAATTCAATACGTGAAATTAATACATGTTTGGTTTAAAAGTTGACTGATAAGCATGATAAGCCAAAAAAATAGAGTCACCAAACGGGCTCTATCTATATCCAATATCATAGGATACTTTTTATCAACAATGCTTCGTTTATATTGACCTTAATAGGTCTAAAAATGGTCAAAATTCCAAAATAGGACTCATGTTTATTAAACTCCCTAAATAGGACCACCGATTACCATTTTACCCTTCATATCATTACGATCCAAGAACCCTCCAGAGATGCATAGCTCATCCGGCCGCAGCAGAAGCTCCATAGCTATGAGCTTGCGATTGAATTGACCCTCCATAGCCGCTCTCCTTGGCTCACGCCAGAACCTCCACGGCCGCACTCCTCCACTCATGCCGGAATCTCCATAGTCGCATGACCATATCTCTTTTCTTCTGCAAGTTCCCAGGTAACCTCCTCCTCCTAATCTTTCTACTTCCTCCTCCTTCCCTCATCGTTCTTCTCCTCTTTCTACTCCCTCCTCCTTCCCTCATTGTTCTTGTCCTTCTTTCCACTGTTTCTTCTCCTTCTTCCTCCCCTCTTTCTGGTCCTCTATTTTGTGTTTGTCTCTATAATTTTGTAAACTTCAAATTTTAGATGAAATTTGGATCTAAAAATATCAGTAAAGAGCTAGGTTTCAACGAATGAACATAAAAACATTTGAATTTGATTTTTATTATTTTGTTAATTTTGATAAATTTCAAACCTGAGAATGACATAACTACTAGTTCTTAGAGAAAATGTCATTTTTGGATTTGAATTATATTTATTCAGCAAAATGTCACTTTTATAATCTGAGAATGTCAAAATTATTGGTTATTTGAAAAAACTGTCACATTTGTGACAGTGTATTTTATCAGGACGATAATCTAAAAATGTCATATGTCTATAAGAAAATGTCATTCTTATGGCATTTTATGTCATTTTTATGGCTTATCTGAGAATGACATAACTACCTGTTATTAGAAATGTCATATTTTTTGACATGTTTCCCAAATGATGTTAGAATTTTCATCCTTAAATTGCCATGGTTTTTCATCTAAAAAATCATATTTTTTACAATTGAGAATGTCATGTTTTTATACGAAACTTTCATCATCATGTCATTATTCTTGACATTCTCAAGAGGTCTACAAGACATACGAAACTTGGGATTTTGCAATGGCCGATGCAGAACTTGTCTGGCGGCGGCGGGTTCGACAAAGAGTTGCGACAGAGGTGCACACTGATGGATGGCAACATAGTAGTTTTTTTGGACGTGGAGACGTGGAGTGTTGGTGTCGGCGATGCCAAAACCGATCCGGGAAAAGCACGCATGGGAGATTTTTAAGTTTTATTTCATTAAGGGTAGTTTTGTCAGATTAGCTCTTTTATTCCTATTTTTGTCCCATAAAACATAGCAGTCATGTTTTTGCAATTTTACCTTGTTTTAGTCTTATTTAGGGGATTCTCTCTTCTATGTTTTATACTTGATTTTTAAATCTATGTATATGCTGCGTCAAAAATAGGCTTACATATTACATATACATTAAGGGCAACCAGTTACATTAAGAGTAAATAGTTACTTCAGAGTGAAAATATGAAAATGATATGAAAACATTCTTTGTTAAAAATATTATCATAAAAGTATAAATTTATTAAGTTTCACATTAATATATTAGTTAAAATAATGAATCAAAGTTTACCATCTTTGACTGAAAAATTCAAAGATGGCTAAATGAAAAGGGGAGGCGGTAGTATATGTTACTACCTCCATCCCCTAAGATTGAGACGAAGGGATGTGGTGCAACTTTTTAAAAAAGTAGAATTGTGTTGTTAATATTGAATTGATAGAATGTGAATAAAGTAAGAATGAATTGTAACATCCAAATATTAACAAATATGGTATCAGAAAAACTGAGATGGACGAAAAGGGTACAACATGGAGTATGATGATGATCTAGCAAATGGACGATGAAGTTGCGTTCCCCTTGTGTCACTACCGACGACTACTACTTTCATCAGGAATCAATACCTTAGCGTAATTCCACTTGCAAAGACTCTGATCCCATTCCCTTTTGAATATTTCCAACTTCGTCGTTCATATATATAATTATATTGGACCGTCAATCCCGCATAGTCGCTGAAAGCGACTAAAAAAAGACCGTCGTCCTACCACCAGAAATATATATATACGGAGTCACGGAGAAATTAATTAAATAATGAAACACACGTAAATAATATAGCCTTTTTATTGCGGAAATGGGGACCATGGTGGTACAAAGGTGTTGGCTATCATCTGTACGCTGGGAAAGCCGCCGCCGTCACCAATTAGCCTGCTCATGCTCCGGCAGCCGGAAGTCTTCTTTCTTAGTTTGGAGGAGAAGTCGCAGTGGTGTGGGACTGGGATGTAGTCCTTCATTGAAGTCGAGCTGCTGCAGTACTGCAACCAGTTGGAGCGGTGGTAGCAGCTGTTCGCCGGAGAAGCTGGGAGATGTTGAAGAAGAAGAAGAAGAAGGGGAGGTGTTGGTAAGGGCGTTGAGGGAGGCGGAGCCCAACATTGCGGCGCTGAGGGGGTGCACTTTTGTTGTTGTCATTTCTGCGGAGGTCGCCGACAGTCTTCATCTATCTTCCTTACTTGAGGTAAGCCCACCGTTCATCCACAGGTCAACCCTTACCTCCGATCAATGGATCCGGAGGACCCACGGGCATGTGGGCGAGCCCCTAAGGCCTCCCATTCCGGTCGTAGGATGTTTTTTTCGACTTTTTTCGGTTCTACATCACAAATCAGATCACATCAGACTTTCATAATTATAAAATACATAGAGATCAGACATTTATCACAACAGACTAATCAAGTCACTTTTTTCTTTTCTTTTCCCTTATTCTTTTTCCTTTTTTCATTTTCTTTTTTTCTTCTCTTTCCTTCTTCTTTTTAACCCGGAAGATAAACCAATAAAATCAGTGAGACAAATGACTAGGAACATTTGCCATTATTTTATTAATAGGAATGAATTACAAAAGAAAGGGACTAAGCCAAAACTTTTCGATAGAAGCATCCCTCTAAGAATACAAACAAGACATGAGAAAGCAAATGAAAAAATAAATAAGTACTCCGTAAAATAATTGGGGGGCTATACCTTACCTAATAAAAATACAATGAGAAAAGTTAAACTCAAAATATGAGGAGGTGCGCCTGTACACGGCGACCGTCTTTACATATATTGTTTTTTCTATTGAGCCAAGAAGTGGCCGGAAAAGTGGTCGAAGTAGTCTGAAAATGAGAAACATGGACAAATTCTGACCAGCTACAAACCAGCCCCAAATAACTGGTTCCAGTTGCTTAAAATTGATATGGAGAGTCATCCCTATTCCCTAGCCGACAAACTCCAATCTAGCCTCAGAAATACAAAACAAAACTCCCAATTTTGAGTTTGAGCAATAATCGATCTCTGAATGAACTGCATTTTTCGGCCCTTCTTGTCAGTTGTGGACGAAGAAACAACGAACATGGGATGGGATAGAGAAAGAATGAAGTTCACAACAAGGTTCCAGGAAGAAGAAATGCACGAATGAAGTTTGTGGGTTGGGAGGAAGAAGACCGACCTGGAAAGGGGAAGCTGGGAAAGGAAAGAAAAAGAGCAAAAAAAAATGAAAAGAAAAAATTGACGGGGCATTCCACGTGTGCACTGCGTCAGACCACGTGTGCACCACGTCGATCAGTAACATGCTGATCAGGCTAGTTACCTACTAAATGACGGTTTTGATAAAAATTACTCCCTACAAAGTAGGAGGTTATAAATGAAGAAATTTAAAGTACGATGACATAATTGACTTTCCGTACAAAGTGGGGGGCGATTTGAAACATTTCTCTAAAAATAATTTAGTCTTTTTTCTTGAATTACAATATTATCATATTGTTTTTATAATATTTATCCACGCACATTTGTTTTACACTATACTCATTTTAGTATAACACAAAACACATATTAGTAATAACGCACAATATGTAATAAAATAAATATTCATCTTAAAATTAAAAATAGATAAACAAAACATTAACACCTAAAACAAATTAAAAAACTTAAGTTAGAATGTTGATCGGGGAAAAGAATAAAAACAAACTAAAACCTAAAATAAGGGGTATTTTATATAATACATTTTCATCATAATAATTGAATAAAAATAAAAAATAAATTAAAAGATTGTCAAAGAAAAAAATAGAGTAAAAAATACAGCAACGAAAGAAGACAAGGATAAAGACAGAAATAAAAGTGAAACTAGTAAGCCGGAAACAAAGAAAGAAGGTAAACTAACGAGCGGGAAACATGGCGACGGAAAAGAACCAGGTTAATTTGGCTCCCGGCTCTCATCTCTCTCACATTTCTATTAATTAATAATTTGAGCATATGAATTGAAACTTGTTCGAGTCGTTCTCTAGTCAATTGCTTTCTGGCAATACGAAAGTATAACTTATGCTATTGTGAAATCATCCTCTGGTCAAATTACTGAACTAAGGTAGATGCCTACACAGGATATTTCTCTCCTTCATGAATTTGGAGTCAAATTCGTTCTTGTGCCAGGGACCCATGTGCAGATCAACAAGCTTCTATCTAAGCGTGGTGAGTTTGATTAAATTTAATTCTTCGTCTTTTCAGTTTCTTTCTCAACTGTTCATGTTTTTAGCATATGTGGCTTGCACCCTCCAGAAGTGACCCTTCGAAGTTTCCTGATCTGGGAAAGCTGTTTCTTTGCTTCTGTAGAATTAATTTCAGTGAGCAATGAGGGAAACAGTTTTTACTCAAACTGATGCTTAATTGTGTGATTTCTCATGTTGGGTAAGAATGCGATCCTCTAAAAGATAGACAATTCATCCTTTTTCCGGATATGTTTGTGGTGTCCATGTCACTTTTGAGTTCGTAGCTCTATTTGGGCTGTACCCTGTCTGGTTCAGGACTGGGACCATAATTTCTGTCTTCCTGTTGGTCCCAGCGAAAAAATGTGTTGAACATGTTTTCAGATTTGAAAGTGAAAACTGGAAATTGAAAACAGAAAATTGGAGAACGAAAATCGAATAATCAAAATTGGAGAAAAGAAAATAGAAAAGAAAGTTGTAAAATATCTATGTTAGTAATTGAACCTAATTAGCTCCAATTTGGTGTTGTTCCTGGATCCTGGTTATATTAGAGTAATTTTAGGGTGTGAGCAATAGCGGAATCGCGTTACATGCTAACATGAAGTAGTGATAACTGGTGTCTGGTGATGTGGGTATTATCTCCTGCAGTGGAGGCATCATCATACTTAGCTCTAATGCCATTATGAAATGCCGAAAAAGCAGGATAACCACATGGGTCTCTGAGTATATATATTTATATAAGAAGCATGAGTTTTTTTTCAAGCTGCAAGTATAAGCTGCAAAGTCTTTTCTGCTCTGTAGAAGCACCCATACAGCCATACTGGGTACCTTTGGTAGCCTTGGGTACTTCGTGGTTTGCCTGGGTATGTAAATTTAAGTTTGTTTTTATATTTTTTTGGGTATGGCGCAAGTAGGGTACTGGAAAACTTTTATATGGTTTTTTTTGCCTCTAAAACTTCTGTTAAACCTTATCAGAACCCCATTATATATGCAAGTATACAACTATGATCTAGATTTTTCCAAGGTGCCATTCTTATCATTCTTTTCTAAGTTTTCCTATTTTTCCCAACTCCCTCTCTCAGGAAGCCTTTGTCTCATAACCTAGAGTTAGGACTTGAGTTTGTTTTTTTAATATGGTTTTAACTTTTAACAATTTAGACCTGTTTTGTATTAGATGTAGAGTCTTTGTAAATTTTTAATTTGAAATTTCAGTGCTTATTATTAATTTTATTTTTTAAATGTGAATGTTAATATTTTTAAATATGTATCTCCGTACCTGTAACTTTGATTTCACAACAATTTTGTACCATGTACACGGTCATACCCATACCCAGCTATTATGTAATATTCTATGTTGTCTTATCACGAACTAGCTTAGGTTGGGGTGGTTCGGGTCCTTACTTCCTATCTTTTCTCTTTTATATGCCTTGTATTAATCTCAACTAGTAGTTGCTATTTCAGGCTTATCCTGTTTTAAATTTCTACTATTCTTAGGAGTTTTGATTGTAATTTGTTCTAACAGGAAGTGAACCTAAGTATGTAGGTCACTACAGAATCACAGACACTGATTCCCTAGAGGCTGCAATGGATGCTGCTGCAAGAATTCGTATACTGTTAGAGGCAAAATTATCACCTGGACCTCCCCTGAGTCTTATCCGCCGACATGGAGACAGTAATCGCTGGCATGCCGGTGTCAGAGTCGCCAGTGGTAATTTTCTAGCAGCTAAGGTGTGACCTTTTTTAGTCTATGCATATTTTTGGACCTGCTCTCAACTTAATACCATTACTTAATTGCTCAATGAGAGCAACTAATAATTTTTAAGTTAGGTCATTTTCAATATGTTCTAATATAGCTTACTCATCTCTTCTAATATACTTCCTGGCAGAGAAGGGGAGTTGTTGAGGGAATCGATTATGGGTCTACCGGGGAAGTGAAAAAGATTGATGTCTCTCAAATACGCGAGAAACTTGATCAAGGATCTATTGTTATAATTAGCAATGTTGGCTATTCAAGTTCAGGACATGTTTTGAATTGCAAGTATGCTATATATGGCTGTAGGCTTTTAATAGGTATCTCTATTGTCACTTTGCATGAACTGCTGTGAAGAATCAGTTTTACTTTTTTTGTTGTCAACAACTGATGCCTAAAATCACATAATAGCTATGGTTTAATTAGCTACTACATATTAGTTATTACAAATTACTGCATTTATTAACATCAAGTAATGGTTTTAGAAGTGCAATATTTTTAGGGGCGGCCATGGAATGTTTATTAATATGACATGTTTCTTGATTTGCATGTTGATTTTACAATATCAATCATGTAACGAATATGAAATTAAAAATTACCTGAAGGCATCACTGTCTCATGATTTTTTTCTATGCATATTGGACGAACCTATGATGATGACAGATTTAGAATTTCATCTCATTATTCCTTCCTAGAAGGTTGAGACATGAATTACTTGCCACTGATCCTATGAGCTGGGATTAAGGTTCTGATAATGATGGTGAAGAATGAATAAATGTGGTCAATACCCTTCAAGAAAATACTACATACCACATGAATCCACGCCCCACAACGCCATGATCGACACGGTTTTTAGATGTTAAAACTTGATAGTAGATATTAATTGCATATACCTGTGATAAATGATAATTCCGACATCTATTTTATTGATCCATTTGCTTAGTTGTTATTTTTTAAAGATTCTTGGGAACTAATGTTGTTCAGTATGCTAAATTTCAGCACATATGAAGTTGCTACAGCCTGCGCATTGGCCCTCAGAGCAGACAAAGTCATTTTCATTCTTGATGGTCCAATATTAGATGAATCTGGACGTCTTATTCGTTTCTTAACAGTTCAGGATGCTGATTTGTTGGTCCGCAGAAGAGCTTATCAAAGTGAAACAGCTGCAACTTATGTGAAAGCTGTGAGTCATGAAGACTTGCCTCTGGGCTATCAAGTTTCTAATGGATTAGTTTTTTCTCATAACAGAAATGGATATAGAGATAGATATAACCCCACATTCCACAATGGAGTTGGCTTTGACAATGGGAATGAGCCTTGGTCTGGTGAACAAGTTTCTGGAATTGGAGGGCAAGAGAGGCTAAATCGGTATCATGGTTACCTATCAGAGTTAGCCACAGCAGCTTTTGTTTGCAGTGTTAGATACTGATCTCTTCTGCTTTTTCCTCCACCTCCCAAATACTTGGTATCTTAAAGAAGGCAAAATATAACTTTTCCATACAAACACTTCCGTAATTAAATGTGCAACCCAAACACGTCAAATGTATTTATGTATCTGCTTGTATATAACAAGTTCATTGTGGGCTTAGGATGTTATTAATTGGACTAAATTTCCTGGTATGGTCTGATATTTGATCTGGTTTTGTATGGGTTAGATGTTTGGTCTATATGTATTTTAGCACTGTCGAAGTTTGTTATGTTCTTTATAAGTTTGGTCTTGACTGTATAAGTCTAGTCTCGTCTAGTCTGTTTAAGTCTGTTTTGTTCTGATCTGGTCTAATTTGGTTTGAGACTGAAACTAGTCTAAGTAAAAACATCTTTAGTTGTTTCTTGTTAGGATGAATGCTAGTATACTCCAGAGTAAAAAAAGAAGTTGCTTTAAATAGGACTAAAACATAGACAAAGTGCGAAAATAGGAGTAGTTATGCTTTAATCCCAAAATAAAACTTATTTGATCCTATTAAAGGTATGCAATTCCCCAATATGGAACGAATGAGTCATATTAGGAAAAAAATAATGATGGTCTTATTTGTGCACTTTGATTATGTTATAGTCCTATTCAAAGAATTTTCTTTCATTTCATTTTCATTTACCCCAGTGCCGCAAAGGCTCCCACCTATGGTGGGGTAAGGGGGGGGGTCAGATGTACGCAGTCTTACCCCTGTACTAAAGCACAAAGAGACTGTTTCCGGATGACCCATAGTGAAAATCCCGTCCAAAATTGCATGGACTGACAGTTGCTTCATGACAAAGAAACGCAGACAGATTAATAAGCCATTTTGCTTTATTCCATCATAATCTCAAGCCAAAAAATAATGAATCTTTGGCTCCATTGCAAATAATGGAAAATATTCAAAGAATTTTCTCTATACTAAAATTCTAAATCTTGTTATCTCTTTTGTTTTTAATACTCCAGGGAGGTGTTCAAAGGGTTCATTTGTTAGATGGAACCATCGATGGAGTTTTATTGAAGGAGTTGTTTCAAAGGGATGGCTTTGGTACAATGGTGGCTAGGTATGGAATCATTTGATAAATCTTGTGCTGAGATGCGCATGTGTTGGTTTTGCATGTTAACAACTGAACACCTTCTAATACTCCCTCCGTCCCTTAAAACTTTGCCATCTTTCCTTTTTGGGACGTCCCAAAAAACTTTGTCACTTTCCCTTTTAATCAATTATTTTGTGGTTTCTGTTATTTCTCTCTCCTCTGCACACACCTCAACCACACAGTTTTTACTTTATTATTCTCCGTGCCGGTCAACTTTGGCAAAGTTTTAAGGGACGGAGGTAGTATTCAGTAAACACACGTCTCTGCTGACTGCTGCAATGTGCAGCAGTATAGACACATTTAGTTTTTGAAATTCTTGATAAAATATAAGTAAACATAACACTCTTTGCGTCCCAAAAAAGAGTCAACTCAACCAAGGACCGTCTAAGGTACATGCTTTAAGTTATGACTGATCACTTATACCCCTACATTTATCATTCATATTCTTTTAACTCTGCCTTTCTAATGTCTATGCTATACTCCAAACACCAACATTTCTGAAATAGGGCATTGGCTCCTTGTTAGTCTGCATCAACCGCTTTTTTATCTCCTGCAACTTTTTTGGAGGATTTGATTCTGTGACTTTTAAAACTGGACTATGTTAGGATAAAAATTCTTGATAAAAGATTCTTTTTTGGAAGCACGTTGGCATTAGTAGTCCATACCGAATTGTGATCTTAAAGCTGATATTTTGGCTGTATATATACCATTTCAAGCTAATGTAAGCACTATATCTTTTTAGTGACCTTTATGAAGGAATTCGAATGGCAAGGGCATTGGATATACCAGGAATAAAACAATTATTGCAACCTTTAGAAGAATATGGAACATTGGTTTGGAGGACAGAGGAAGAGGTAAGTTAATGGGTTTTATTTAGGTGTCATTTGAGTTTTTCTCTCATTTGGTAAATCTCTTTTCATATAATAAAAACTAAAACATTTTTATGTACTCACTTCTTTATTCTAGCTTATTGTGGCATTGGATTCGTTCATTGTTGTGGAAAGAGAGGGCCAAATTATAGCTTGTGCTTCTCTATTTGCATACTTGAAAGAAAAATGCGGAGAGGTTGCTTTTATTGCTGTTTCTCCTAAATACCGTGGCCAAGGGCAGGGAGACAAACTACTTGGTAAGGATAAATGATACATGGCCCTTTAATTTCAAATTTCCATCAATTGCAATGAAGCCAAAGACTCATTATTTTTTGGCTTGAGAATATGATGGAATAAAGGAAAATGACTCACTAAACTGTCTGCGCTTTTGTTATGAAGCAGCAGTCAGTCCATGGCCTCCATGCAATTTTCGACGCGATTTTCACTATGGGTCATCCGGAAACAGTCTCCCTGTGCTTTAGTACAAGAGTAAGACTGCGTACATCCGACCCCCTTACCCCACCGTAGGTGGGAGCTTTTGTGGCACTGGGGTGATGATGATGAGGATGATGAGCCCTTTAATTTCAAAACCCCTCAAACATTTATGTATCGTGTTTTAAGTGTTTGACACGTATTATGTGAGTAATAAGATATTGCAAAATTAAGACAAACATAGTATCATATGATTAAAATAATAGCCCTATTGGAAACTATAGTATGATGAGGTTTTTCTATAGTGCCATACTGCCATGTAGCATTTATGGATGAAAATATAATCATGGAAAATAAGCAGTTAATGTTTTCTCTAAATTCTAAAGTGACGTTTACTTGAATTTGTTTTTGTATCTAAGGATTTGTATTGATGGAGAGTTTTGGAGGGGTTAGTCTGTATATTTATTTACAAGTATTTAATTTCATAAAAATTGAAAGATTTACATGTAATCGAAGTATATATATATATCAATAACCTTTTATTTGCTTCTAGAAATATAGACTAAGGACTTGTTCTCATCGTCCAGAAAATGTGACTCAATGTGATTTTAGAAGATCTGGTTTGGTCTAAATCTTACTGGTCTTGGTCCGAAATCCTGAATGTTTCTGGTTTGACTTAATATCTGAATGTTTCTAATTTTGCCTACATTTCTTGCTGAAAGTATCTTTCTGGTCTAGCATGATTTAAATGTTTCTGTTGCCACTTGGTCATTTTTTATAAACAAATCTAGTAAAGTTAACAGAGCACCAATGGCCTCTAAAGTCTTCTCCTCTAACCCCCCTCAAAACTTTCCACCAAACAAATGTCTTGCAATTCCAAATGATTATTTCAAAACGAATTAGACATTCTTGACAATTACTCCCTCTATCGCACAATTAAGTTCCTAATTGCACTTTTTGGGTCGACCATATATTATTCAAATGTCAATTTATATTAGATTTTATAAGTATAGATTTTTTGTTGTTTAGGATCAAACGTCCACTTAGAAGATCGTAAAAGTCAAACTGGGAACTTAATTGAGGGATAGAGGGAGTACAAGATATTGTGTTACTTGTTAATAAGAGAGAGCAATGGATTGCCACTGTACTGTCTGTTTATAGTTTAATTGAACTGACTAATTATGTTTAAAGTATTTGCAGATTTTATTGAAAAGAAGGCATCTTCCCTTGGCATACAAATGCTTTTTCTTCTTACAACTCATACAGAGGACTGGTATGGTTCATGTATTTTTACTGTATAGTTTTAAGAAAAATGAGTTTCTAGTTTGGCCCATGCATTCAATATAGCAATCTATTTTGTTCTTTAATATCTATTTGTGGTTGGTAGGTTTGTAAGACACGGCTTTTCAGAATGCGGCGTCGGTCAGATACCAGTGGAGGGAAGGAAAAGAATCAATATTTTGCCCGGGTTGAAATATTACATGAAGAGGTTACTGCCTGATAGAAGCGGTATTCGGTTTGACAATGTGTCATTGGCATGAGAAGAGCAACATTACAGGCTGTTTGGTGCCCCGTGGCTGTATATTAATTGATTGAATGAGATAATAAGCTGCTTGTAGCAGTGTGGCTGCAACTCTAGGTGTAAGAGCTGCTGAATCAATATGGCTGTGCAAACTGCAGGAGAATAAGTGTATAAACATCAACATCATGTATACTGTGTTTCCTAAAATCCTGTTCAGAAGTTGGTTGACGTGTCAACTTCTTATCTATAAAAATGGTCATGTATATGTTGTTCAAGTGTTACATGTTTAGAATAACGTACGGAGTGTATGCTTGGTCAGTGGCATGCCCGGCCTTGATATATCTAAGGATTCTAAGCCCCTAACATTCAATCTTTCTCTTGTAGTTTCAACCTATTTTCTTCTTACAGTTTTCGTACCCATATTGATATTTCCTAACTCTAGGAGTTATACTAAAAGATAAAAGAATCAAAAGGTAACAAATAAATGAATTGTGTGAAAGAACCTCAGAGAGATGGGAGATTTGTCAAATGGAACTAGGGTGGATCTGTTCCGTTGGTCCCGAATGCTTTTTCGGTTCCGATACAGGACCGCTCTCCCCCCTTGGGTTTCGTTAGCTGGTCCCAAATGCCACTTTTTATGACAGGGACCGGCTGCTCTCGAGCTCGGTCCGGTCTCAATGGCCATTTTTTCCCCTCATTTTTTGCTTGAAACCAAGACTGGGATCAGACGGGCTGATTTACCTGACCCAAACCGAAATCCCTTTATACCGGGCCGGTCCCTGGTAACCATAATATTTGTCAAGGACCGGATGACAAAAAAAACAAAAACCGAAACCGGCTATCAATCAACTAAAACTGAATTGACCAAAACCATATAAAACAAAAAATGATCAAAACTAACCCAAACTTCAATGGTTCAGTTTACAGTTTGTGCTTTTGGATTTAAAATCTGATCGAATCAAGATAAAACCTACCAAATAATTGCGGAGAAGATGTAAATTAACATTTACAAAAGCAAATTAAAATGTTATAGGTAATATTTCAAATATCTTGGACTACAAACCATTCCATGACTATTTGACTGTATTGTAGTTAGAATTATATGAAGCAACCGTATATGTTGGATAAAATGTCAAGACTAATTTTTTTCTTTTATCATATGAGTTCATGAAGCTTGTCGGGTGTTGATTATATTTCCATGTTATGCCACACTTTAGTTTACTTTGTGTCAATTTTGTGTTTGATGAAATGCCAAGTCGTGTGTATATGAAACTTGCATTAAAGCTGAGTATACATATGATTTTTGAGTTGGTTATTATCATTGTTATGTAGGTAATACGGGCTCTCTTAATGTATAGAGAGCAAATGGAGTAGGATTTTAGGAACAATAAATGCTATTTATATCCGGGAAGTAAAATAAAAACAAGAGCTCCAACCATGCTCCAACCATGAAGTTGTACATATATATTAACACTTCAACACTTCCATTTAATCATGTAAAGAAAGAGCTCATAAATCTTGGATGGGGACGTAGTAGGGAAGGGAAGGTCTCTGGTTAGGTGAGTTGCTTGATGTGGCCCTGAAATTCAGACTCCAGCAAGATGGGCAGCATCATAAGGAAGTTTCGAAGAGGCTGCGACGTTGCGTATTATGGACCATTCTGGTGTCCGACACAATAGAGCTTGGCTTCAACTTTAGGATTGGTGCAGCTAGTAAGCTACATGAAAGTGTATCCAATCACGCCAGGAATAACACCACATGTTGACATATGGCAACAAACTCGATGAAGAACAAATTGGAGTCCTTCATTCTAACTAATCGGTCAGGAGTCCTAACTAATTAACCATCTTCATGTGTCACCCTTCTCCAGAAGAATCGACATCTCTGCCTATGTCTCATGTTAGCAATTTAGAATATGCTTTATTAGAAATTTGTTTAATCAATTGAAATAAAAACTTCATGTCGTGGCCAAGTTAAGAAACACACACAATCTAGAGCGTTTATAAGAGGAAACCATACGAGAGGAATGGAATATTCATCAGTGATACGGTACACTGAATCTCAGCAGATTATTCCCTTGAATAATCACTTCTACATAGGCGCACTACAGAGGTGTTTGGTAGATGTGATAGATAAAAGGACCACTATCAGGGCATTAGCTGCTGCCACTGTCATTCCAAAGACAAGTTTGCACAGATGTTAAAAAAAGGTATGCTCAGAAGTCACACAAATGCTATTAAGCCTTTCTCAAACCCAAATTAAAGCTTATCAAGGTAGTCTCACAGAATACTCATCATAGCAGCCTCACATACATCACAATGCTCAGACTTAAAAAGTCATCATAGCATCCTCTTACAAGCATTGGTCAGACATATATGGTCATCACACCACCCATACAACCATTGCTCAGACATATATGGTCATCACACCACCCATACAACCATTGCTCAGACATATATGGTCATCACACCACCCCTACAAGCATTGATCAATCATATATGGTCATCACATTACCAATACAAGGATTGGTCAGACATATATGGTCATCACAGCACCCATACAAGGATTGCTCTCACATATATGGTCATCACACCACCCATACAAGCATTGGTCAATCATATATGAACATCACAACACCCATACAAGCATTGGTCAATCACATATGATCATCACAACACCCATACAAACATTGGTCACATCTATATGGTCATCACAACAGCCTAACACCAACCTTACTCAGCCCATATGGTCATCACAATTGATAGCTTAAATAGTGGTCACAGAAACACAAGCCTAGATACCTACAAACCAAACATCACACATTCCTTAACCAGCCCACATATTCATCATTACCAACAAATTCAAAAATACAAACACCATATTTTCATCATTGCTTCCCCAAAACAAACACTGCACTACACACACAAAGACTGCACTACACTGCAAGGCAGACAAACAAATCCACAACAATAGCCTCACACAAACATATGAGGAGTCAAACATACGAAAAGAGATTAAGAAAAAAACTCCTATGATTGTGAAAGAACTCATACATCCACGTCCCAAATCCTAGATTCCCAGCCGGGTAGGATGATTTTTAAGTAGGCCTCTAGACGAGGATTTGAGCGTAGAGGGTGCATTTCCACCTCTTTTCGTCTTTTCTACTTTTTCTCTTCACTATCCGGAACCAGAACCTCCTTGGCCTATTAACAATCCTCCTCCTTTTCACTTTCCGGAATCACTAGCTCCATCGAACCTTGACCGTCGTCCTCATCCCACGCCTCTTTGCTGTCCGGAACCAGAAGGTCAGTCGGAGCTTGACCGTCGTCCACATCGACCTCCACTTCGGTGTCCGGAACCACAAGGTCCATCAGACCTTGACCATATTCATCGCCTGGCTCGATTTCAATGTCCGGCACCATCACAACGCACATGCAAGCATTAGATGGACCTAGATCTTCACATATGGTTTCAGAGGTTGATTCTAGATCCATGGATATCGAATGTTACGTTAGGGATTTGAAATAAGGACAAACTATTAGATCAACAGAGAAGCTAGGGTTGTTGTCGATTTGAAATCAGAGAAGGAAGGGAGGCGGTGCTTCGAAGAGGGACGAAAGAGTGTAGGAGGAGAGGCGGTGCATCGGAAGTCTGAGAGACAGAGAGAGGGTGAGATAATGCGAGAGTGTACTGAATAATCAATGGACCGAACAAAGACCAGGAAAGAGAGTAAGTGGGAAAGAGAGTAAATGAAGGGTAAATATCAAAAGAGGCAAAATAGGGTTTTTAGTAGTAGAAATTTTCTTTTTTTGTAAGTGGGGATTTTTTTTGGAACAACCCAAAAAGGAAAGTGAAAAAAATTTAATGGGAGGGAGGAGGGAGTAGTATTTTGTCACAGCGCTGGAGTCATGGATGGGATCCCTGACTATTTCGGTGTTTTTTGCAGTGTGATCTCGCTGCCGCCCACATGTATGAGTGATGTATAAGTCATGCAGAGTCACTAACAAGCAAAATGAGTTATGTTTCTAGATTTCACCCACTTTTTCTTAACTCAGCCTTTCCCCTATCTCTTTGACCGAGGAGCGAAACGTACCATTGTTTCTTAATTTACCACGATTAGTTGTAACACATAAACAAACGCAATGGCTTTTTAAAAGTACAAAGACTAATGCATAAATTAATTTATCCGGAAGGGTTTGATACATAGAATCCAAAAAATCACCGAAAAAAGTATAGGCGAAATTGACATTAATAATCCGTACTTTTACACATTTTACAAAAATAATCCCTACTCATAAATTTCACGAAAATAATCCCTACTAGTTATTTGTTTCACAAAAATAATCCGATTTTTACGGTGTTAACTTTTCCGTTTTTTTAGGTTTTGAATATATCAAACCAAAAATATGTATAAAAATTAATAATATTATATTAGAGTTTAATCTTTTCCTACAATAAACTAATATATTTGAGTTTAATTCAATATTCTACATAATTGTATTAATATTTAATGTATTATTACTAAATCTACTTCGGGATCTCTATTATAATGAATAATAAAAATGAATCTTAATAAAATATGGATAGGGAATGAAAAAGAATAGAGAATTTGAAGAGTATTATGTTTTATGAAAAACATTTCTATTATGTTTTATGGAAATATTGAATATTAAATTATTATTTTAGTAGAAATAAGATTAAACTCAAATATAGTAGTGTCAATGTTTAGATATATTTTTGATTCAATATATTTAAAATAAAAAAATAACGGAAAACTTAACACCGTATGCATTCGGTTTATTTTTGTGAAACAATTAAATAGTAGCGATTATTGTTATGAATTTTTCAAGTAGGAATTATTTTTGTAAAATGTGTAAAAGTGGAGATTGTGTCAATTTCGCCAAAAGTAATGGGGTAAACAATATAGATTACGGAATATTATTCTTTGTCTCCGGTTTCTTTCGAAGTTCTTTCTGCAACTTCTTAGTTTTTACTAGTTACATCTTGGGTTAAATAAATAAATTCTACATATTGATTTACATGGTTATAAATTTTATCAAATGGCAGTTAGGGTTCCCATGACTATGACTAGGAGTCTAGGACTGCAGTTAATGTTTTTTACCGTTTTTCAATTCGTAAATAAGCTAGTTTAATTAAAGGTGACAACTCCGGTACCTTTCCAAAAAAATGGGGTACCGTACCTATCATTTATTTGATTGGACCACACCACTTTATCATTTTTAATTTAGATTTAAATAATTCAACTGATACATTCTCATTGGTCCATTTGGACAAAGGTATGGTACCTTATGGGTATCATAGAATCTACCTTAATTAAATTTGGAGCGGTGTCACATACGAATGTGGCTTTGATAGTAATTGTAGATGGTGGTCACTAATTACTGGCGACAAAGGCGACGGTGATGGTGGCAGCAGCAATATGTGAACGGCATAGTGTTATTAATTAAGATGATGGAGAATATATCATTGCAAAGAATTTACGGGATTGAAACGAATTTTACACTAGACAGAGAAGTGTTTTTGACATGCATTTAGCATATCCGTAACAAATTCTTCATGATTTTTGTAAATCTTTGTCAAAAAATCATGACAATCCCGTGTTTTTTTGCGGCGTATATATACACATATACACATTACCAATATTACCCGTACGTGCAACTCGTTGAAACTAAAAACAAAAATGATGAATGCTATTAATAGTTACGAGTCCAACTTGCATTGCTACCAAAAACAAAAAAAGACTGATGCTCCGTACTTCTTGGTAGGAAAAACCAACAACAATATGACCGTTCTCTATGATGCCGCGTGTTTACTGATGAAGCCGAAACCATAACTATAAAACATTCTCAAATTTTGATGATATCCACGAAAATACTTGAGTCCTAATAATTGTAAATTACTAGTCCAATCATATTCTGCCACCTATACCAGACATAACTTGACTAGAGTTAAAAAGAGGGTTAATTGATAATATAGGACTAAAAGCTGGTCACTTTACATAAATAGGACCAAAAAGTAAATTACGTTTTGATAGGACTAATTATGTGTGTATTGGACAAATATACTCTTATTGCTATTCAAATGTTTTTAATTCATAATAAAATCATAACAAAATATAAAAATTCATAAAAAAAACTAAAAAAATTAATAAATATATTTAAATCATAATAATAATAATAATAATTACTTAAAAAATTAAAAAAAATAAAAAAAAGTAAAAAATGCAAAAACAAACCACCGCTTCTACCACCCCAGCACCACCACCTCCAGTCACCAGGGGAAACAAATGCCACATCTATTACGAATGCCATATTTATGGCAGATTCAATGAAAATATTGGCATTGTTAAAGAGTAATATGTCATTTTTTTGGTATTTTAAGAAAAAATGGCATTTTATTTTATCACTGGTCGGAGGTGGTGGTGCAGGGAGGCAGTAAAGGCAGTGGGAAAGGCATCCATATTGTTTTATTTTTTTGTGGAGTTTTACTATTTTTTATTAATTTTTTAAAAATATATTTTTTTATAAATATTTTATTAATTTTTTAATTAGTTTTCTATGATTTTTTTTTAAAATTCGAATTTATTATGAATTAAACATTTAATTATGACTTTTGACTACCTTTTACTCATATTTAAAGGAGGGGTAAGAACGGAATGAAAAAATAGGTATGTTTCCAATAGAAGTAATATAGTCATATTCTGGAATAAAAACATAACAAGTCATATTTTCAGTTTTTGCCATAGTTTTAGTCCTATTTGAAGTAATCTCCGTTAAAAAGACTAGGTCAAGCTAGACAAGACTCGAATGCTACTCTGTAGTAAAATACACATAGTATCCCACCTAGGCTTTCATATAAGACCATATCATACTTAAGCAGATCAAATCAGACTAAATTATACTACCACCATCCTAAATAGGTTTGCCATAATGATTTTTCTTGATCAATGATCATAAACTTTGGACAATGATTTTAATTAGGGAAAATAATTTAAATATCTCAAACTTTAAAGGTGTGCGAGATAGGTGCCCCTAACTTGAACATGTAATATATATACCCTAAACTTTCTATTAAAAGTTATATTAGCACCATGACCATATATTTTTTATTATATCTAATTTTATGGTATTATTAGGTACATAATTTAAAATACACAAAACATTTATGAGCATGCAATTAAAATTAAATTTTATCGAATGTAATATTATTTATTTCACAAATGAAATTTTAGAATGTTAACTGCATTCTAACAAAGCTTAGAATATTTTTAAATAATGTAATAATTCCAATAAATTTGTATTTGTAAAAAAACCATACAACCATGGTGTGAAAAATAACTTTTAATATAAAGTTCGGAGTATATATATTATATATGCAAGTTTGGTGCACTTATTTCACACCCCTTTAAAGTTGGGGTATTTAAATTATTTTCCTCTTTTAACTATCATATTTGTATATATATAATTTATAATAAAATTTATACTTTTATGAAAATATTTTGAATAAGAAACATTTTGATATAATTTCCATATTCAAACTAATTTCATATTAAAAAATATCATTAACTAAACTCAATTTAGTGATCCTTTGGGAAGGGAGGGAGCTGAGTACGTATCAGACTATACTTGAAAACTTTAATAAAAGTGAAAACATCATTAAATAAAGCGAATTAGAACAAACTTAAAAAATACGTAGTATAAGAATATAAAAAAGACCAAACTAAATACTATCATGGGTTTTCTTAAAAGGTAGATTTTATGGTACTCTTAAGGTATCATACATTTGTCCATGTGGATCAATCAAAATGATGTAGTTGAATTATTTAAATCTAAATTAAAAATGATGTAATGATTTGAACCAATCATGTAAGTGGTAGGTATGGTAACCCATTTTTTAAATGGGTACCGAAATTGTCACCTTCATAAAACTAAAAAACATTAAGTTATTTCTGAAAGCAAATCATTGAAGATCAACGCACCATATATGCTATATGCTATCATATACTCCTACATAAATTCAACAAACATTATCAATAGAGTCAAGATCGATCATCATGAGACAGATTTATGAGGCTTCTCCTATATATAATAATAATTAAGAATATAGGAGAAGTGATAGAAAATATTATGGAGATATTCTTGCATGGGCTGAATTCCCAAGCTTCAATTCTTGCATGGTACACATTAAACATACTACATAAACAATAATTCAAGTCAAGAACTCATGACGTGTACCACCTCGATCTCTTCATCAATCCTCTCAATAGCCACCACCACGACGCCACGACGCGGCCCAGCTTTTGGCAAACCTCCCCGTCCGGGAGCAGAATCACCCGCCGCCGGCGTTGGCTGCCCTCGCCGGAGAAGCTCCGGCCCCGCCTTGCCTCTGAGGCTTCTTCTAGAAGAGACCCTAATAAGCTCCCTCAAGTCCTCATCCCCGCTGGTCAGCTCAGAAAAGCTACGTGGCATAGTCGAAAGCGGGGGCGGCGCCGGGCAGCCCATTAGATTCCCGGCGCCGGGCCCGAGCTTGCTCGAACAGTCCCACAAACTCCGGACATAGAAATCTCTGGCTCTCTTCAATGCTCGAATAGGCGCTTTAATGAGTTCGCTCTCCATGTTGCTCTTGGTCATTTTCTTCCTGGATTCTCATGTTATATATAGTAATCAAGGGGTTAAATAGTTGCATTATTTGTCAACTACTCTCTCCGTCCGTCCCGCTAGAAGGTTCCCGTGAACGTTTTACGATACTTGACAGACGATAAAGCAACTTAATCCATGTTCACACTCCGATTATTTTTAGTAAATAAAATTAACATATTCAGAAACTACATTAAAACCGCTGCAAAGCCTGATAAAAAAATGTAAATTTGGTAAAAATTTGATTTATAAAGTAAAAGATTAAAAATGATTTAAGTTGACCATGAGAATAGTGGACGGGAACCTTCTAATCTCATGGGAGGGTGTACATATAACTGCGCTTATTAAGACGGTTGGTCGTTATAATTAATGATGATTGCTCCACCGAATTGAATTTGTGTACCAAAAACATTATACAATTTCGTTTTGTTGTTTTTATTATTTGATTAAATTAATACCGAGTATTCTATCTCCATGAAATGAGTCGAATTATTGAGGGAATAGAGGTGGATGGATGGATATGATGAATATAGTAAAGAGATTGTCCCAAATAATGTACGTAGTTTTCCTAATTACTCCCTCTATTACAGAAAATTCTTCACACTTTGACTTGACATGAAGATTAAGAAAGTGGAATAAAGTGGAAATGTGTAGTTGTAATTGTGTAAGAAAAGATGAAATAATGTGAACCACACAAATTGTCCAACAATGGAAAGTGGAGAGATTTTTTTCACAGATTATACCGTGCAATCGGCGGACCATGAGGATGGTGCGCCCGGTTGCAAAACTACGGAGTATTGTGGCCCGGTTCCATTATTTTTTATTCCTTTTATAGTTAAAAATTGTAATAACTTTTTTATTTCATATCCGATTTTTATAAATTTTATATTAATTTTTATTTTATTTTTCATGACCTATCAAATGAGACCATATGTAATTTTAACAAATTATAGAACTATTATATAAATGATTATTGGATTATAAGGAAAACCGAACTAAATTTAATACAGAAAAATAATTCTGTAAATCACAATTTATACATGTGAGTTACATATTTTTATATGTGAGTTACATATTTTTACACGTAAAGTTACATATTTCTACACGCGAGTTACACATATCTACACATGAGTTGCATTTGACCTGCCTGAACGCGAGTTACATATATTTACACGTCAAGTTACATATTTGATGGATAGTCTACCCGGGGGTATATATCCGAAGAGTTATTACGGGGAATAACTTAGAGAGAAGTCAGAGCAAACAAGTAAGAGAGAGAGTGTATATTCGATATGTATTAAGCGTGGTTACAAATGGGGAAATGGGGTGCTATTTATAGTAGCAATAAATGCCGGGCAGGGACACGTGTCAAGTGCTCATTGGCCGAGGGGTCACCTCAACTGGTTGGCGCTGGCAGCCGCATGTGGCCGCATTTAATGTGGCTGTTGGATGGGACGTCTGTGCGGGGTACGTTGATCTGTACGCATGTGAGGCGGATATCTTGTCGAGTGAGATGCCTTCGGCTATAGAGCAGTAGCCGGGGGCTCTTCCACCCGATGGCACCCTGGTGCCGAGGGCTCACAGTGTCGAGGGCTACTGTTTTCGCCGTTTTCTCCCAGTTTCTTAGTTTGCTTGAGAAACCCGCTCTGTGAGAATTTGGAGCCTTCGGCCAGGGGGGCGAAGGCATCCCTGTGCGTTGTGCGGACTGCTTGGTACTCTGGGCGCTGTGATTTGGGCCTGTTGGGCCTTTTGGGCCTGTTGAGCCTTTGCTGGAGTAGTAGGAGTATGTGGGCCGGGGGTTCCCGGGCCATATACTCCATCAATATTTTTACACGTAAGGTTACATATTTATACACGTGAGTTACATATTTATACACACGAGTTGCATTTGACCTGTCTGAACGCGAGTTACATATTTTTTTACGTAAATTTACATATTTTTACACGTAGAGTTACATATTTATACACACGAGTTGCATTTGACCTGACTGAACGTGAGTTACATATTTTAACACGTAAAGTTACATATTTTTACACGCAAATGTTAATATGTTAAAATTACATAGGCAATATTGGTCTCATTTGAAAGATCATGAAAAAAAAAAAGTTTTGATATAAATTTTATAAAAATCAGATCAAAAATAGAAAAATTATTAACATTTTTAAGAAAAGGAGAAATAAAAAATAACAAAGCCCACTGAAATTTGGGATGGTATACCATGCGCACCGTGAGACGGTTGCATGGTATACGAACTGGAATTTCTTGGGACGACCTAAAAAGAAAAGTGGAAAGAATTTTATGCGACGGAGAGAGTATATAATAGTACTGTACACGTGTTAATTTTTATGACAGTAATATTGTTATATTAAAGTCATATGTGAAAATCAACCTGGCTTACTTTTGTTTAGGAAATTACACAAACAAATATTGTGAAATTTTAATATTTTATGAATTTAATTTCCAAAAGAAATTATATGAAGATAGTCGATAAAGACAGATTTGAAAAACTGGTACAGATGTCAGAATATCAGATATGTATTGAAAAAAAGCTCCGTATTAATTACGGAGTACATTGTAACCAAAAGAATTGATTACAACTATAATTAAATTGGGATGGAACACGGAAGATTTTAAGTAATTATAATTATTTTTTGGTAGATTCTATGGTACCCATAAGGTATCATACCTTTGTCCACATGGACCAATGAAAGTGTTGCAGTTGAATTATTTAAGTCTAAATTAAAAATGATATACCTATTTGGACCAATCAAATGAATGATAGGTACGGTACCCCATTTTTAGGTAGATTCTATGGTACCCATAAGGTACCATACCTTTGTCCAAATGGACCAATGAGAATGTATCAGTTGAATTATTTAAATCTAAATTAAAAATGATAAAGTGTGTGGTCCAATCAAATAGATGATAGGTACGGTACCCCATTTTTTAGAAAGGTACCGGAGTTGTCACCTTATTTTTATTTTTATTAGTTGTGCACTATGTAGCACGGATACAGGTACGCGGAAATGCGTAGGGGCGTGGGCTGAAAAACTTGATGATAATACATTGAATTTTTTTCAAAATAAGCAAAAAAAAAACAAATATAAGAATTCTCCACTAAATTTGTTCTCGAAAGGCTTTGAAACAAAATACTCGTCAAATATAGAGTGTACATCTATACTAAGAGTACGATCTTTTCAATGTAAAGTGTTGCAATCAGCAATAAAGTCATCATCCATTTTATTGCGAAGTGTTGTCTTTAAAAGTTTTCAACAGCAAAATACGTAGTAGTATTGTACATGTGTTAATTTTTATGATAGTAATATTGTTAAAGTCAGTCATTTATGAAAATCAACCTGGCTTACTTTTGTTTTGGGAATTACTCAATTACCCAAACGAATATTTTGAAACTTAAATAATTTATCAATTTAATTTCCAAAAGAAATTTGTTAAAATCTGAGGTTTCATCCTAAAAGGTCAATCAGATAGGAGGAGTAACTCGGATCTTGATATAATGTTTGTTTCTTTCAGAAATATCCGGTATGAGACTTTAGCACCCCTCCTCACGACCAGACGCTTTGTCTGGATCGTGCTGTCATTCATTTTTTCATCACTTCATCATTGTCATTTTGTTTATAATTGTGTCATCATTTTTCATAAGAGGGCCCCACACCATTGATCGATTTGGCTCTTATATCATGCTAAGATCTAGGATTCATCCTAAAAGATCAATCTAATAGGAGGAGTAGCTCAAATCTTGATATAGTGTTTACTTTTTTCAGAGATATCCAGTGTGAGATTTTAACAAAATTATATGAGGATAGTCTATAAAGACATTTTTTTTAAAGGAGAAAAATTATTTATTAATAAAGAAAGCAACAAGAGGTAAAACAATACAATATAGCTCAAAGCTACGCTAGAAGAGATATATAATTTAATAGTTCTAGAGGACCCATCATATTTGCTAAGTGTCACGCCCCAGACTGCATCCGAGCCACGTAGACAACCGTCGTACAACCCGACAAGAACAACAACAGTTCATCCCTACTGAATTTTACAAGGCGTCTGATTGATTTTATTGCCAAACTGATTAGTAAACACATATAATCAACATCAATATCATAATCAAACAAATGCGGAAATAATAATATGTTTGATACTTAGCCACACGTGGCAAACACGGGCACGCAGGCCCCCAACTGTTTTAAGGAAAACATTGTTCAAAAATCCATGAGCAGTTTATAAATTTCAAATACGAATGGAAGCACGAACCACGTCTTCCTCCTTGAACGATCACCCTAGGCAAAGGTGCAGGTAGTAGGACTCTAGCCTTAACCTGAAAAATGTGAGGGCCCCCGGAGGGGTCAGTACTCCATAGAAGTACTAGTGACAAGCAGGCTATATGAAGAATAACTAATGTTTCAGACACGAGACCCAAAAATAGGGTGATACATATATATAGATGTCTCTCATCCACCCGATGATACATACTGTATATATACTCGTAAAATACTCAACCCGTAGGTCATTTACCTTAAAGAGTCTTTTAGAGATAAAGTTCTTACCTGACTTTTCTCACTCCTTTCCCGGTTGCCTAGCTCACAAGCTATAGCCTACCTTCGATTCATACTACCGAGTGTTTTAGGATCATTTACCGTCCAAGGCACTCAACCCAACCTGGAGTATTTAAGATCATTTACCGTCCAAGGGTACTCGACCCCACCTGGAGTATTCTGGATCATTTACCGTCCAAGGGTACCCGACCCCACCTAGAGTATTCTGGATCATTTACCGTCCAAGGGTACTCGACCTCACCTCGAGTATTCTGGATCATTTACCGTCCAAGGGTACTCAATCCCCAGTCTATCCTCTACCAAATCCTAACCTGGATAAGGCTAACCTTTCATTCCTTTAACTATGGACAATGCCGAGCCCTATAGTCATATAACAATCCTTAGGAACCAACGTGGGCGGGTCCCACCTGAACGGCCCACGTTAACTTACTCAAAACTG